AGGACAGTGTTGTTCCTTTTTTTTTTCTTCTTTTTGCGGAATAATCAGCAACATACACATCTAGTTAAGTCTGTTTTACTGCTTTCAAGGCTTTGTTCTTCTGGTCAGTCTCAATCTCAGAAAAAGATCTGCCGGTAAGTGAAAGAAAAAAGCACAGTCAGCAGAAATCCCAAATACTTCTACAGGAAGAAAAGTTACTGTGTCCTCCGCACTGTTTCACTGACCAGTGATCTCTATAATGTGCAGCACAAAAACACTACACCAATTAATGCATTGCTCCAAGATGGAGAAACACGAGGTTTACCAATTTCCTGGAGGTACTATAAATAATTTTTCTGTTGGATGTCTTTTGTGAGATATTTCTTGTCTCAGGTAGAATATTAAAAAGCTTTGGTACATTGCAATTTCATCATAACATAATGAAAGCAATAATTCTTCCGAGTAAAAAAAAATAATGTATAATTATTCTGTTACAGTTTGAGTTGAGTTTTGAGGTACTTTTCTGCTTTTCCTCTTTTTCAGAAATGCACATTTGTCTGGTTGCTGTAATTAAGATTCCACACCTTTATTTCTGACCTTCCTTCCTTCTTTCCTTTACTTTATTCTTTTACCTTCCTTCTTTCTTTTCTCTCTTCATTTGCTCTTTCTTTTCCTTTCCCATATGTTTTTTAGGGTTCCTAACATGTAACTAATCTGAAATCCCCTGTCAAAAAAGCCAAGCTCTGCTCTCCTCCACCATGATTCACTGATGCATGTTACTTAGCTTATGCAGCATTTTAATGTCGTGTTACTCCTTTTTACTAGTACAGAACAGAACTTGAGTTCTGCCTTCTGCACCAGATTTTGTCCTGACATGTTGTTGCTTTTCTGAGAGAATAAAACAAGCTGCTTACACTGCTGTCACTCACACAGACACACGTGTGACCATAGATTTGACCAATGTTTGTGCCATGGCAGAAACAAGCCTGTGAAAAAAAACACTGTAAACCACAAATCATGGAGGCGTACTGAAGGGTGAAGCAACTTTTATTTTCCAGGTTGAATGACATCAATGGAACAGTCCTTTCTTTAACAACGGACAATAGGCGTTATCCTATCTTCTGTTATTTAAAAAACAAAACAATAACCATAGCTAATCCATAAAGCTACTTCCATCATATTATTCCATTATACTGTCCTCCCTGCCAGCCTCTAACCATTGCACTGTAGCAGTTTGATGGGAAATTATTGTGGCTGGATGGGAAAAGAAAGCGAGAGTTGTTCATAGTGGGAAGTAGACCCAGTTCTGTCTCACAGGACCCTGTTGTGGCAGGTCGGTCAGTCCTATCAGGGCCGTCTCTCTGAGGGTAAGAAGAAGAATTTGCCACATGAACCATGACCCAATTAATCATGGGTGCAAATGCAGGAAATACAGGGGCACTTGGTTTCTTTGTGTAAACAGCTGAACCAGACACATTCTTCATAAGATAAGAATGGACTGATATTCAAGTGAAGCCTTTAACATCTGACTGATCACAGACTTTCAGTGGGAATTGGTTGCAACTGTGTGAAATGTGCAAAAATTGCAATCAGAGGCACCAATTTCCACTGCTTTTTATGTATTTGGCAGTATCCCTAAATAGACAGAAGGATACCGAGTATATGTTGGTTTGTACATCCTGCTGCTTTCAATAAACCTAAATAAATATTATTTACCCATTCTATTTTTCGGGACAAGTGAAACACATGGCTTTGTCTGACATAAAATATGGTTAGTATTACTATCAATTATTATTATTCCTCTTAAATGGACTCATAAAGAATGCTGTAGTAATGTTATAATGCACACGGGTATAATGTAAATGTAAAAAAACAATAATTGTGCTTTAATGAGAACAATAACTAGGCCATTGCAATTTCCTTCAGTTTTAGAATCCCCTGCTACAAAATAAAAGGACGAGGGAAAAGGGTGAAGAGTGGTGGTGCTGGCAATGGTAAGAAAGCGTCCCTGGTATGATGTTTGGTGTGGGGGGATAGTGTTACATGCCAGCAGCCCGCTGGCTTGTCCTCCTTCTGTACGCTGGGAGTATGGAGGAATGTGCCGCCTGAGAACCGCAGGGAGGAAGAGGGTACTGACAGCAAGCAGTAAACACAGTCAGCCTATCTGTTTGTTTGTTTGTGTGTTACTGTGTAAGAAGGCCCAGCGTCTGTAGCTTCAAAAGCTGCTCCTAAACATCTGTTCTGTGAGTTTGGAGCGCTATACAGCCATGTCAGAACACATCATGACTTACAATTGCGGCTCTAAATCAATATTTTCCTCCATCTCATACTGGATTGTTCCACTGGCAAGAGTTCAAGAATGGACAAGCGCTCATTGAGAAGAGGGAAAAAATGCTGGAGTGGATAGACGGGAGGGACCCGTCACATTTTTCCAATTCACCACAATCAGAAACAGATTTTCAGCAATTAGTCTGAACTAACTTGCAGGTTTATTGACTAAAAGCACAGTGACAGCGACTTTCGGACAACCAAATAAAAACAATTACTACTGATTATGTTCGACTGTCAACACGTTTCTTTATATTTATATTATTTATTATAATCATACTTATTCTTTTTTACCGTGTGATTCAAATATGTTCAACTGTTTTGTTGACACCATTCAATTTAATGTTAATTTGTTACTTTCTTTTTAAGCACTTTGAGCTTCATTTCTTGTACAAAAGGTGCACGTAAGTGTAATATTATTCAAATTAAGAATAATCATAATTTCCTGAATGCGTCCTTCAAAATTCATAAGTATGTAGTATTCGAAAATAAATGCTGTTGTTTTCTCATTAAGTTCTCCACTGAAACTACATTCTCATATGTGTAAACTATGAGCCCTGAACGACCAACCTTTGAATTGATTGTTAGCCGCGGAGCCTCTCGTATTAATCTCTTTCAGTGTGTAATAAGTGAATTAGTGGGATGTAGAAGATGATGTATGACGAAGGCTGGCACGTCTAAAACCTGCTGTAAATCCACATGCCACAGTCACTTAATAATGTGGCCAGAGACCTCCTGGCATCATTCTTCACTGTATCCATTGACAACCTGGAACGAATAAATCTCTGAGTAAGGCGGCGCTCTGAGTTTGCTGTTAAGTCATTTGTTATCCACATTATCTACATTAAATGCTTTGTAAAAATGCTCCAGATGATTTTAAGGGACTTTTGAACATTCTGCCAGCAACATAATATACCGAGCGAGACAAATAATAAAAGCCAAAAAGAAAAATATTTTCGTCCTGAAAAGCAGCAGCGTGTGAAAGTGATGCTCCACACGTGTAACGATTTGTCAAAAGGCAGCATGCCATTTGCATTGGCTTGGATACATTTCCACAAATTTAGCAATGTTTTCTACCCTCTGCTAATGGTTTTTGTAATCGTTGTTCTAAAAAAAAGTTCATTAAGTTCATTCAGTGGGAGCATAACATTAGCATTAGTTAAACTGGGTGCCACTGTGACTTTTGGCATCGCCCTTCATTTTTTTTTCAGATTTGGAAAAATCCCAACCATTGAAATATGCTCAGTAAATTCATCACATAAAATATTTTGCCTTATTTAATGCGAGAGGAATTTATTTTTATCTTTTATCTCTGAGTGAGACATCCTGCTGCAACTCACAGTACTATAAATTACATTTAGGGAATGATAAAGTAGTTTGAATGTTGCAACCGTTTCTACAAATCCAAGTGTAGCTGTGTTGTTGGCTTGTGTCTGCTGCTGTGTCCTTTAACTTTTCCCATACGTCAGTCAGATGCCTTCCCCACCTCCTCCAACCCCCCACCGCAACAGCTGGCGTCTCAGCAAGGGCCCTGACGTTACACTGCCACCCCAGGCTTTCAGGGAGGCTCAAGTATTGTGGTATCAGGGGCCCCTAATGGCCCTCACAGAAAAATGCACAAAAGTAGACCCAAATACAAGATGTGTCCCTCCAAACAATGATGAATAAAACTCAGTCAGTCAGTGAACATTATAACATGGGAACAGTATAGATAAACATTTATGATGCTTTCTTTCATAAGTAGGCTGTTGTATAAATTACACATGAATGTAAATCATATACGTGAGTACTCATACAAATGAGCTATTTAAACATAAAAAACTATTTTATGTTTGTGATTTTCATAAGGCATAACAACCACAGTAACATGAACCGAAAATTATTGTTTTCATACGTGCATTAGTTGTCATTGTGTGCCTTTTCACAAACCCACCACTCATATGATCTGCATCACTTTCCCTGTGACAAAAATGAATCAAACAACTGGGTTCTATTTGTTCCAGAATAAGGTTTAAAAACATGTCCCTCCTGGACATTTCAAAGTCCGCATTAAAAAGAAAATGTCCTGTTGCCTGTTCCAGTTTCTTAATGTAAAGCAAGTGGGCAGTAATGGTTTCTCCGCAGTCAGAATTAAAACCATGACATCCCTTATGTATGATTCAAAATCACAGGCCACTTTTGGTTGTTTTATTAAAAACACCAGGTTCTTCTTGACTGTCCCACAGTGTTCTCACTGGATCGAATAAAGGCCTGTAAATTCTGGATTGAGCTAACTGTAATTGGGCCAAATTAAGTTTAAGTGATACTCTGATGTGATAGGTCACATATTACATATTATATATATACATATGAAGCTACATATTTCCTGTTAATAATGAAACCAGCTCTAATTTTAACCAACTTCCTGTGAAAATAAAGAAGATAAACAGTTTAAGTCATGTGATATTTGGTAAATGTGATTGTATTAGTAGGTCACAGCAACATATGGTGTTACCCCTTTGTTCCCAGATAGATCTTTAATACTTCTCTTGCTCTCCATTTTTTAAGCGGATCAAATTACAGTTTTGCATTGGCAGTAAAATGTGCTGAATAGCTGTCATTCGGCGTCAAGAACAAACTGACCTGTGGTGAACTTGCGCGCTGTTTTGCTGTCTGTCAGACTCTGTAGGACCCAGCGGAAAACTGCTCCTACCGGAGGGAGACGGAGCAAGAGAGAGGGAGAAAGCTGAGTGGAGAGAAGACGCTCTCAGATCAGTCAGTGGCTTCATGGAGTTATGTACCTCTGATCCGCCGCCATGGATTGCAATCCGCGATCACTCCTTTTCATTTTCCCTCTTTTATTGTCCTGCGTTATTCCTGCCTTCCCCATCATCTACCCCCCTAATGAAGGTAAGGGAACTCTCAGTCCGCGGGACATGTGTTTATGTGGATGTGTGCGTGTGTGTGTGTATGTGTGTGTGAATGGTGCGCTACGGCACACGTCTAGTGCATTGCCGTGCGCTCACCGCGGACTTGCTACTGTCCAAATTATAACGATAACAATAACAAGATGATCCGAAAGCGCACGGAGGTGACACGGAGGATCGCGGAAAGCCGGGAGACGATCACTAACAGATCATAATTAGAGTTTAAACTTGAAAGTAGACCCAAACAGGGCAGGAGTGGCAGCCTCATTTCAGATGATCTGGCGAACGGGGCGATCAATAGTTGTTTAAATGGGTTGGATGAATGATTGAAGACAGCTCCCCAAGCGTCCATCGCAGAGTTGATACGGGGCTGAAGAGATGTGAAGAAACTCCAATGTCTGTGTTCATGATGTGTTTTTATCCAAGAATCCATTTGGGGCATGACGCCCCAGTTAGGGTTTCCAGTCACACCGATTTAAAGGCAATAAATAGAAGATGAGCACAATCGCGTAGTGCGTAAAAACGCGGATGTCTGTTTTTATGGTTCTGACCTGAATACATCGCGAACAGTTGACTTGTAGGCTACAATGAGGATCTTGTAAACTGTCCATTTTACGGAGTCATGTAACGACTGTATTTTCAAATTATATTTAAATCCGACATTTTATTAAGAGTGGATAAATGCAGATGGTGCACACGACATAAAGCCACTTATTCCCGTTCCAAGTCTCGCTCACTTTTTTTTGTGATAATACGCATGTGGTGATATTGTGAACCCCGGCAGAATGAGACCGACCGATCCACGTTCAGCAGAGTCCCTTCTCCAGACGTGAAACTGCGCTGGACACAAGTGAAACGCTCTCCTCCTGCAGCCTACTGACACATTTTGTTTAACTTTCTTAAAAATGATGAAAATACCACTGCCACTGTTGCGCCCTGTAGTAAATACTTGTCATGGTTAAAGTGTTTGTGGCGGGGTCAAAGGAAAAAGGAAAAGGCACACGCGTGCTGAAGGAGCAGCTGAGTTCTGTAAAGGTTAAAACTGCCCACAGGGGTGGGGGGGAGAGAAATATATTTGGGTCACACTGTCACTGTTATTCAGTGAAAAATATATAAATAAAATACTCACTCGACACAAGAATCCATTGATAGTTCTCTAATTGTGAAATAGGACTTCACGCGAATTAGTGAGGAAGATATCAACATAGATTTGAGTGATTTAAACCTTAATGCCTATAAAGTAATTAAATGAATCGGAATGAGCCTTTAGTAGGCGTAATCTCCTCTGCAATAATCAAATGATCAGAGACAGACAAGTAAGGTAATAAAGGCACCAAAACCCATGTATCTGATCCCTCTGCCGCCCATTAATGTGAAAAGTGACTCATACCGATGTTGGAGGATGAGCTGGGAAAGTTTGGGTCTAAAGGCCACGTCAAAAGAGCAGTCTCAGTCTAATAGAAATATATTCTGAAGGGGAAGTTGTCCAGAACACACATGTAACCCAAATAAACCCTCGATTGTGTTGTTTCCGTTGAGTTTATTTATAATCCATACTGCTGAGGACCTCTCTACAGCTGAAATCACCAATAACCACACCAATGAAACTTATAAGTTACTTTTTCAAACACTGTGTGAAACTAAAACCTGATTTTGTTTTTTTTGTTTTCTGAACCAAAATGTTTGTTGAATATTCATCCGACATTCAGAATTACCCTGTTTACAGTTGTCTTTTTGTGCGCCACAGCTTGTGTCAGAATTGCTGCTCTCTGCTAAGTTGCCGATAGTCTTATTTATAATACCTAGACGTGAAATGATGAGTGGATTCATTGGAAAAGAATCTGAAAAAAACTGATCCAAGAGTGACTGTGAAGGTCAGCTAGGGCTACTGGAAATCTGGCCAATTGTCTTTGGCCTGAGAAACTTTTACTTACTTAATAGCCAGAATTGGTAGTTTATTGACATATAAAGCTGATGAATAATTAGTATCAGCGACCTCGGCACTGAAAAAAGAAACAAAGGCACATAAAATACACACCACCCTGACAAAATATACAATAGCCTACTGGCGAGAGAGTGTGTGTGTTGGGTGCGTCTGTGTCAGAGAGGGAGAGAGAGAGAGAGGGAGAGAGAGTTAAAAGTGTAAAAAAAAAAGAGAAGAGATAGAAAGAGATCAATCCTCTAACCGGTTTACAAGTTAGTAGGAACAGGATACGTGCTAAGTTTCAATATGAGTAACAAATCGGCCAATTAAATTCACTTTCCCAAGACATAAATCTGCCAGAGAGTGTCAGTATCGAGCAGCTCCGTTTCTATATTATAGAAATTCATACAGACTGCTATACTGCAAATGCGACCCTAAAGCAGGTCACAACTTTTAATGGACACAGAGCTGTTCATGTGGTCCGGGTTAAAGGTTTAACAGTGTTGGTTGCAAATGGTTCCGCTTTATAAACCTGATTATTCTAAAAAAAAAATTCAAGAGAAAAAAATAAATGCATTGTTGAACTGGTTAATAAATTAGATTCAGGTATGTAAAAAGCAGATAAAACCAATAAAAAAAAAAGTTGGAAACTGACTGATGAGAGCTGCATTCCTCCTTATGGAATAAGATAGATCAAAGGGCATTACTTCCACTGTCGGAGAAAACCAGACCTGGGACTAATTAACTTAGTGGTTCGTAAACGTCACCTTAAAAGTCACTAAACACATCTTATTTTTAATTAAATTCAGGTTTATAATTAGACTCAATGACAAACCCGACTAATCACAAAACCTAACCTCCCTAACTCAAGTCGTTCTACTTTACTGTGCTGTGGGTAAGTGTTCCCATGAGTGGAGGAGAAATAAACTTATACTGGCTTTCATTTTTATACCGACAGCCTGCTGCTGATCACATCTAACCTGCAAAGCGCGCAGCAGATTATAAAAGAGCTCTCAGAGTTAACCAAAGATGGCTGTTACGAAACTTCTTGATAGTAAACTCGATGGTCATAAAATGATCTGCTGTAAATTCGTTAACAGATTTCTGAAGCTTATATTAAAGCTCTTTCAACAATTTAGGAAATGGACTAAAGGCCTATTTCGCCAACTTGTAGACTATGGGACTTTTCACAGACTTGGTGTAATCACAAATTATTAATCACATAATAGGCTAAGTAAATAAAAATATATTTTCATGGAAAACAAACCTCAACTTAGAACGGGATGGTGGAAAACTGATGTTATTATTTTATTATTTCCCTCCACGTTTATAAGGAAACCAGAAGTCTAGTTATATTTCTTGTAATCTTCTCTCCCATCTCGGCACGGTGCCTTGGCCAACATTTTTTTTAACAACAGCATTTACTGTGTGGCTTTCATTAAGGCGAAATGATCTTGTATAAAACTTTGGGGAAAAGTTGAGGGAAATGCAGAACAAAAATCCCTGAGAATGTCATTCAGGGGCGCGGACTCATTTTAACTTTGGGCACATGTAAGATCTCAGATATTGTTTAAAAATATTTGTTTCCATTATTTAATTCGGGGTGGAAAAAAAATAATATTGTTAGTTGCTTTTGCTGTGGCAGTGTGCGTCTTTGCGTGGTTGCGTGGTTGCATGGTGTGATGTTGGCCCGCTGCGGGACGTCGGGAGGCCTTGAGTATTTTTAGCCGGCGGTAGGGAGGCTTGGCCCGGGGAGCCCGGCGCAGCATTCCCGCTGGGACTTTCGGGGCGTTTGTGAGCGATGGTACCTATCAGAGGTGCTGGAAATGTGCTTACACATGCCCCTCCTTTAAAAATAAACCCCCCTTCCTCTCTACATATACTATAGGCCTATATTTATATGTGTGTGTTGGACAAACATTGAGTCGAAGATGGAGATGGCATCTTCAATTTAACAGCATGTGTTTTAGGCTTGAGAGTTAGATAAAAACATAAGGTTTGTGTGTGTGGGTGTGCATGTGTGTGTGTGAGAGAGTGTGTGACTAGGTGTGTGTGTGTGTGTGTGTGTGTGAATATAGACATATAAGATTATATAGTATGTCTGTAAGAGTGCTGGATGTCTTTATGTGAGTTTAAGTCTGTGTGTGTGTACATAAGGCATATAACACATGAGGTTTAAGAGTAGAAGAAAGAAAGATAGAAAGATTGAAAGATTGAAAGAAAGAAAGAAAGAGAGGAATGGGGGCAGAGGGGTTGGGCAAGCAGCAGCAACATCAGACAGAGCGACTCTGCACTTGAATAATTCATAATGGGAGGTGAACACTTCACCCTTTAACACAGACACAAGTCGCCTTGCTTTGCCTGCACTGCGGCCTGCCAACCTTCACATGCACAGAGCCAGGCTGCAAAGACAAAGCCCTCTCTATTTTCTTTCACAATTAGATGGGAGATATTTGAAGAACAGGTGCATGTAACTTTTCTATTCTATTCTGTTCCGAATGGAGTGACTTAGTCCAGAGTCCAGATGGGAAGGGGGGTCTGCTTTGCTGATTAAGCCATGTGTTGATTCTAGACCCGCTCCTCTGACTGACAGCTTCTTCTTCTCACTCATCCAACATTTTAATTGTGTCTCAGGATTAAATTCCCGTGTACATCTGCTGTGAATCGGGTTTCCTTCTTCATATTTTACTGGAAGTGGGGGACTATTGAATGGCCGAGCTGTTAAATCATGAGAACACAGACATCAAAATAGGCACCCCGTAGATCTTTGCTCCGATGTTTCTTTTTAATATTTCAACATACGCTACGCCAGGCAACACAAGGTCCCTAGCATGTGGAAAAACTGAGAATAATGCTACATGACAAGTGGTCTCAGATTGTATTTGCAAGGGTGCTCATTGTGTTTACTGGCTGATAATACACCGAAAAGAATCAATGTGTTCCCATCAGTTCATCTTGAACACTTGTGTCTTCTACTTCCGTTTTGTCAGGGTCAGTTTATGTGTGTGGGCGTTTGATGGTGGCCTAGGTATGTTATATATTGATTCACCTGTTTTTACCTCTATGATGTTTTGCTCCCTCGCAGACAGGCTGGCTCAGTTTGCTATTAATACTCCTAGTTCCCGTTTAGAGGCACTCCCTGATGGGGCAGGGGCTATATGCTTGGCTGACGCTAGCTTGCTAACTGACTCTGTGGGTCGTGTGTGTGTGGTGAGCCCTGTGTGTTTGGGAAGAGGAAAGACCGAGGGAGAGAGGAGGAGAGACAGAGAGAGAGAGACTAAGAAAGACTGTCAGCAAATGTTTGTGTAGGCTATGCTCTTATTTTATGCCTGCTTGAGTACGCATGTGTGGGAATATGTGCATGTTTTGGTAAACATCTGAAAGAGTGTATGCATCCAGCATATGTGTGTTTGTAATTGCTTTTATTTTGAGCATGGATGAATGTTCATACATTTGGCACATTTTAGTACAAAGACAAGTGTTTCAGTATGAGTTTTTGTGGGATGGGGTGCATCTTTTGGTGTGATATTTGTAGGTTTTGTGTAACTGTGTGCAGCGTTAGTGTTTATGCACGAATTTGTGAGTGTGTATGTGTGTGCATGTGGGTGCTGATTTCCCCAGCCAAGTGCAGCTGGAGGGGGCTTTTTCCTCCAGCGATATGAGAGCCGTCTAATTTTCTGCTCTCAAATTCCCTCGCTCGGCTCAATTTGAGTGGTGGGCTCGGCTCGTTGAGAAATGTAAATTGGAAGCAATGGCCCTGGATGCTGAGCTGCTATTATCTGACATGAACAGATAGCTTCATTAGACTCTAATAGGAATGTGTCTACTGCCACTCAACTGGCTGAGTGGCTTAGCATGGCTGCAGCTCAGGTGAGCCGCAATTTAGTAGCTTTTTGAGCCTGGAATGCGATAATAAGTCCCCCTCTGTGTGTGTCTTCCTTTCTCTGCTTCCCTTTCAGGGTTTTTTTTTTTGCCACATTGGCTGATAGTTATCAGATTTGCCTGAAGAAAATGATGATTTCCATCTCAACCTTTATTCTAGTGAAACAACAATTAGTTCACGGAGCAGCAAAATCACTTTTCTCTGCAATTTTCATTTACGCTGCTTGTGAGGGGTAAATTTTGCTTGACTAAAATAGTTTTCACAGTGCCACAGCGGTCCTTCCTGACCCACAAATACTCTCTTTGACTGTCTTTGGTGATTTGTATACACTCTTGCTTGCCTTGAATGGGAGAATACAGGGAGGTTGTATTCCTCATATTTTCACAGTGAATAGAGTTACAGCTGCAGGGCCTGGCTGCACTGCTGCTTCACTTTGTTGTGGATGTGTGTGCTCGCTTGGGTCAGTGTGGGTCTGTAAGTGTACATTTGTTTGTGTGTGTTGAGCTGTGGACTGATTTGCTCTCAGCAGGATAAGAAAGAGGCTTCATGTTTAGACTTAAAGGAAGAGACCATCGTAAGACAGGAACTATTGTTCAGCTATCTATTTACATTAGTTTATTATTTACCCTCTAGTTTTTCATGCATGTTACTTAGTGTTCCTGATTCTAATCACAATAACATGTAAATTCAAGTGTATTGTTTGTTGTTATTGGGTAATTGCTAAAGTCAAAATGTGGCACAGTAAACACAAAATGAATTACTTTAAGACTTTCACTCCTAAACAGTTTTAGGTTTTTGCTCACAAAAGGAGAAAAAAAACATCATCTTCATTAAAATGTGCACAAATAAGAGTCTTGTAACACCTTTTGTAACACTAGGTTTAATTGTTTGTTTGTTCTTCACACTACAGTAAGTCATTATATTAGTTTTCTCCATTCTCAGTTTGAGATACAAAATGAAAAGGAATCAAATTTAAACTCAAAATCAAATTAATTTAAATGAATAACTGTAGCTACATAAACCGTTGCTTTCTGGTATTTTATTAGAAGTAGAAGTACTCACAAGCTGTATTTGGCTATTGTTTCTTCACTGACCCTTAACATATTCTGGTGCCATAACGCTGTGACAGTTTGGCTTCTGAAGTGGGGGTATTCATCGACCATAAGGCTGCCTCCACATTCCCCACTCCATAAGTCATGTTCTGTACTGACAGTTGTACTTGATGACAATCATTCCCACCACAGCAATGTGCATATTCTAAGAATAGAAAATGTCGTAGCTCATTTTTCTGTGCTTAAGGAAGATACTGTATGTTAGAGTCAATCTGGCCTACATGTGTACATAAAGGGTCGGTAAGCAGGACGTGTTTATGTGTCTTTATTGTACATAAAGGGTTGGTAAGCAGGATGTGTTTATGTGTGCAATTTCTGTTTTGAGGGCAATAGAAGTTCAATTAAATACCAGTACATCATTCACAACACAAACATTTCTCTGTGCTGCGCCATAAGTACTGACGTGGCTGCTGCTTTGGCACCACACTGTTTACCATATGAAACCCTTTTCACCAACCCAAAGCCTTAACTTGCACCGTCACGCCAATGGAGCTCCTTGTCTTATTTGTCCTCCATCATATTCAATCTATTAGACATGGGTTTCTTTCTCTGCATCGTGGTTTCTATTTGATATGAATACATTCTTGGCAGGACACACAGATAAAATTGTATTTCCATTCATTATAAATGGATTTCTATTTTGTTTTCAGTGTGGCCGATGGCCATTTCTGACCACCTCTGAAACCGGCGATTTCTGATTTGATGCCATTTCGCTTTACTTGGTGACAGTCCAATCACAATGGGGTGTATGTATTGCTAGGTAGAACGGAGGTCAACTGGGTCAAAAGCATGAGATTTAGAAAATAAACACTTCTTGTTGTGGTTTTGGAAATGTTGGTTCTACTTTAGTTCAATATCTCTGCAGGATATCTGTGTTGTAGCCAGCCACCCAACCAACCTCTGCTTTGATGCTTTATACAGCAAGAAAAGAAAGCTGGCTTTCACTGTTGGTTAGCATATGCTATGTGTGTGTGTGTGTGTGTGTGTGTGTGTGTGTGGGGCAGCTGAGTAAATAGAGTCATGATCAGTGCTTGAGGTTGGTGATCCCTCCTTTGGGATTCGATGAAGGCTAATTGGGGCTAACAAGGACTAGACACTCATATGTTCTCTTTGTTTTTCCTCTCTCTGTCTTTCCTCACCACAGTCAACCTGTTAGACTCTAAAGCAAGCCAAGGGGAGTTGGGATGGATTTCCTACCCATCGCATGGGGTGAGTATCCTCTATCTCTATGTTTACCCACATCATGTCTGAATATGCTTACATTTTGGAGACAGATCCACGAACATGAACTGGATGTGGGATTTAGCCCCACACCACATAAAATCAGGATTTTCAAACTCCTGCGGTTCTCACTATGTCATGTTGACCCAATGAGCCAAGTGCAGATTAACCCACTTTTCTTTCGACGTTTTTTGTCCATTCTCTGTCTCGCAGGTTAAAGGTTAAGCATTCGGAGCTTGCCATATGGTCAAGATGCTTAAGGGAAAATGTATTGCGTGTATGTCCGCGTGTTTAAAGAAAGATTAAGGCATTAAAGGATTTTAGGTTTTAGGCACAAAAGCATCCACACAAGAATGTCAATAAGCTTACCCTTTTTTAGTAAATATCACATCAAGAACAGATAGATATTTCCTTGCTGTTGCATGTAAACATTTTAATTTCATTGTTGAGATTTCACTTGTTAATCCATTTGTTCTTAACTGAAAATATACACCACCTCATTCTGTCTGTCAAACATGCTTTAACACAGTTACTTGTCTTTTCACACACATTTTTCAAGTATTTGAGTTTTACGCATCCATAAATAAAAAAAAAAGGAAATTAAACTTAAGTTTTCACTTCTGGATTTGGCCTCTGTTGTTACTTTTAGGACTTTTAAGACCCACTCTGTAATTGCAAAATTCTAAAAATGTGTGTGCGTGTGAAAAGTTTGTACCGAGGATTCCGGGACAACCTTTGTCCACCGCAACCAAAAAATTGTATTACATGGGAGAATTGTGGAGCTTTCATAAAAACCAACCAGCAATATTGCAGCAACATAGACCCATACTTTTGGAAAACAATGTCTGCAGCCTCATCTATCAGCCTCTCTCTCTCTGCTACCAGAGTCCCTCCAGTGGGCTCTCGCTCAGTGTTTATTTGTCCAACTAGTTAGACTACTGTGCCTTGGGGCTGGCCCACTGACACACACACACACACACATACCACACTTCCTCCTTTTTCCTTTATTAAGTGTTAGAATTACTTCTTGGCAGTGGCTTAAGGTAATCCAGTCATTTGTTCCGTGGAGCTGCCAAACCTTGTTTCCCTCGGCCATATACCGTGCTGGCACCGTCAGAACGCTCCGAGTTTCTTCATGAGGTTGAACCACAATGAAAAAATGACCCAAAGGAAAAACTGCAGGCTGTTTAAAATGCATTTAGTCCAAAGACAATTGCAGGCTACAGAACAATCGCGTGACCATTTCGAGGGAGAGATTGATGCTGTGCTGATAGAAGTTATTCAAGTGTGAGCAAGTAGGAAAATGCGTACCGACGATGGACACTGGAATGTGTGACAGAGGTTATGCAGTGTGCGCCGCGAGCTCTGCTTTATTTCAAGTTATTTGCTTTGAACAAGTTTAGAAGAAAAGCGAGTGGTTATACAGTTCATAAAAATGCTGCGGGAATGAAAGCCAAAGTCATTCCTAAATGAGAAATGACTCCAGAGAGAAAGAGAGGGGATAGGAGAAGATCAAAAAGGAAGAGAGAGAGAGAGAGGCAAAAGGCATGGAGAGAGAGGGAGAGAGAGAG